GGAAAGAAAACAGGCAGCAGTCAGGTGTGGAAAGGCCAGGGAAGATGGGTGGGCAGCTTTGTTCTCCTGGGCACCCCCCTAGGTCCTGGCAGACAGCATTTCAGGGCGCAGTGCTTTGGCTCTCAGTTGCATCTTATATCACCTTCCCCGGGCCCACATTCAGGAGGGATTGTTAGAGTTAGAGCTCATCCTCTCCCGTTTCCTAGTATATGTACTTGCAAGTGGGAGACTGAGCAGCATAACACACCCCCAGGGCTTCTTCCCCTCCAGAGAAAACAGCCCCTCTTGGAGAGCCCTGAGGACTGAGCTGAAGTTCACCCAGCCTTGGCTACCATGCAAAAGCCCCAACTCCCAAGTCCCCAGCTTTACACAGCTTTGGCACCGTCACATCAGGGGCTGGCTAAGTACACGACCGAACTGGCTGGGACATAATACGCAGGGCCCTGGGCTTTGCCCAGACCCAATGATAGTAATGCCACTCCAAGTACCCAGTGAGAAAGTCTGTTTAAAATGATCACTCACTTTTCTCTGCTATGTTCCACCTAGGGACTCTCTCCAGGCAACAGCCCTGCACACCTGAAGGGCTTTGCTGACACTGAAGAACAGACCTTCTAAATACCCCTGCACAGTAGCCAAGTTACTATTTTCATTTTTCAAGTGAGGAAACTGAGGCATACCTGGAAGAGACTCTAGGAGTCCTGCTAAAGCCCACGAGATGTTTCATAGCACTGAAATTTTCATTGAAAAATTGGATGTGCCATTAAGAACAAACCCCAGAGGCCAGGACCTTCCTACTCAGTTATTTAGCAGTGGTTTTTCTTGTTCAAATGTGCGTTTCATTTAAGGAACAATACGGGTTTCCTCAGCAGCTAGACTACCTGGGAACTTCACATACGTTAACCGGTCAGTACGGGCATTTGCACGCACAGTGGGACCTCATGCAGTCACAGCGGTCAGGGAAGCAGCTCAGACTTAAATGCTGCTCATACCCCATGTGTGTTAAGAGGTCAGCATTTCATTGACATGTTCCATCAATTACTGATTAAATTCAGCCAGTCTCTAAAGGAAAAAAGCATCTAATCAGAGTCTAAATCTTTCAGAAATGTTAAAGGTCAGTGATATCAGGAAAAGCAGTTCCCTGGCTGGGATCTAGATGTTCTCTTTTTAAAAAAAAAGACTTGGAGATACAAGGCAAAAAGACAGAGATATCCCCAGGGCCTGGGGCTGCAAAACTTAAGGCAACCCCAGGCCCTGAGGGCACATCCCCCACTGCCCTCCTGGCTCAGCCAGCACCGTGCCCAGTCTTCCTTGGGAAGAGCAGGTGTCAGAGATGGAGTGGGGTGCTCTGGGTTCAGGCTCTCAGCAGACTCAGGAAAACATCAGTCGTCATCTATATTATTTGAATTGCATCGGCACCTAGGAGTCCTAATCTGGAGCAAAGACCCTATTGTGCCAGGCACTACAAAGAGCAGGAAGACAGTTGCTGCCCTAAATCATCCAAGTAATGCTGGTCACAGTCCCAAGCTTTAGTTTGCACCCTCAAGGGCTAGGAATGGACATTATTTTTAATGAACTCTGGGACTCCAGAAGTTGGATTTGTAGGCATGGCCCAGGAGCCTCAGCTTTAACCTGATAATACTCTGCCCGCCCCCAAGCGATCCCTGATTAACACTGCTACGAAACAGCCACCGGGTTTCTGATATTGAGGACATATTAGGCAAGGAACAGCCATTGGACCAAGACAAAGATCTTGTTCTGCCCATGTCATGTGGGCAGGGGAGCGGTCTGGGTGTGTGCAGACACTTCTGAACCTTGCAGAGAGACCAAACTTGCCCTAGCCACGTCCTCTTGGGTTTGGGAGTGGTGGGGTCGCTGTAGCGCTGATGGTATAGGAACTGTGCAAGAAGCAAGGGGCTTCTGGTGCTGTCTCGTATTGAACCGACTGTGTAATTCAGAGAGATATTAGACGAAGTTTCAGGGGCAAAGTGCCTTCTTCAGGTCTGGAATACAAGGAAGTGCAGCTCAAGCCAGGTTGTACCTACTTTCTGAGCTTGACTTAGCTGCCTGCGATGGAAAAATCCACAATGGGAAGGAAAAGGGCGGCAGAATACACAGTGACATCGACTTCCTGAGTGTGATTTAACCTAGCTTCACTTGCTCTTTTCCCAGACCTGAAGAAGGGCAAACTTCCCAGTGCAGTGTCCAACATCTCTCCCAACTGCACAGTCCATCCAGTAACAGATCTCACCCACGCAAGCCTTGTTTGATTTAGCCTTTCAGGTGCCCGTCTCTCTGCTATCGCAGCGGCACTGAAGGACATTGCATGGGACTGCTCTTTCCAGCCTTGGCTTTTGATCCCTAGCCAGTGTTGCCGAGTGTCCAGAGGCAGCTGCCCTCCTATGGGCTGCACAATTGTAACCGCCTTCCTTTCAGGCACTGGCTGGTCTCAGTCTCCATCAGCTTTGCAAGCAAAGCTCTCTCTTATTTATTGCTCAAAGGGGAAGGAAAGGCGTTTCCAGGAAGTGGAAAGGCAGCCGAAGGAGGTTGAGCAGCAGTCTGTGCCTAGCCCACACCTGGACTGCAAGCCTAGCTCGATCACCACAGCCCTGGGGTTTACTAGGTTAAAGGCCAAGTGAAACCTCTGGATGGCGAAATGTCAGCAACGGCCTCTGCATGGACAGGGCTGGAACAAGAATCGCACCCATGCCCCGGGAGCGGTCAGGGTCCTCTCTCCTCCCAGCTCTACGGCAATCAGGCTGCGCACCATCACCTGGGTGGAAGCAGGGACACACACACACACACACACACACACACACACGGATGCACATGCACACGCAGGTCTGAGGTGTGAAAGGAGGGCAAGCGGTCTCAGATGAGCGTGCAGGGTACCAACAGGTCTGTGTCAGAGCCTAGCGCAGTTACCAAGCAAAATCCCGGCATTTATGCAACCGCTCAATGCCTCCAGCTATTTGGCAGGCCCTCTCCCACCTCCTCTTTCTTCTGCTTAAGCTAAAGCAACAATCAGCGGTTTGTTTTGGGGGGAGGTCAGTGCAGGCCAGGCACCTTCATCAATGGCCCGATTATCCGGGGCCAAAGGCTTCCCCTTGCTTGGCCCAGCCGCTGCGCCAGCCGAGCTGGGAACTAGGATTCATAGGTTAGAGCTAATCAGCTTTGAAGTATTCATGTGAAAGTAAAGCCCCTTCTTCGATTGCTTCGCCCTCCCTCCCGGCAGCACCGCTTGTTCTGGTGGAAGGTAGAGCTTGCTGAAACAGCAGCAGAGATTTGCCAAATCCCAGACACTAGCCTCTTGTCAGAGACCCCCCAGCTCCAGCCTGCGCCACGGGCATCTGACTTGGCACCTTGGCACCAGGAGCTGGGGTCACGATCTTGCCTCACCAGGGCCCTTCGTGGACGTGAGCAGGATTCACAGCTTGGTCACAGGGGCAGTCTCTCTGGACAGAGAGGATTCGGTGCAGTCCCAGCTCGGATCAGAAAGGCCCCAATGGGGACGCGAGAGCCTCACGCACAAGAGGCCGGCTCCTCAATTCAGTCACGGCAACTCCCTTCTCAGCCATCCTCCAGGCCTGGCTCCCCGAACCAGACCCCATGCACAACATGCTCTTCCTTGCCTGCTGACACACATCTGCCCCCCTCCCTAAAACAGGCGTCAGCAGCCTACGGCTCCCGCAGCCATTTCACTGGGCCTGCTGCAGCGTTTGGGTGGCAGGGGCCCGGGTCGTGTGCTGGCAGCACCGGGGCGGCGAGCGGCGATGGTGGCGGCAGCTGCAGCACAGGCTGGGCTGGAAGTGGCCTGCGCGTGCTCTACTGAAGGGGCCCCTGGCTGCAAAGTTGCCAGCCCTGTTCCTAGCACAACCCGACTGGCTTGCTAATCATGTCTTGGCAAGAACCGATCTGCTGCCCTCCTGCTTCTCCGTTCACCGCCCGGCCACAGGAGCCAGGCCCTGCACCTCCTGGCTCCTCTGCCTGCCTTCCCTCTGCTTCCTTCCCACATCCCCGTGGCCCCTTCGCGTCCCTCTCAAGGATGTGGGGAATCTGCTGTTTAATTGCCAGACGCCAAAGGCTGCATTTCATTGGGCAGCAGATCCGAGCCCGGGTGGCCAATGAAGCCCAGCTCTCGTGTTACCCAGCAACAGCGAACTTGATGCCTGGAGGAAGTCACGAAATCTGCATCCATCAGCGGACAGGAATGCAGCAGGAGGAGAGGTAACTTGTCAGACACGCTGGGACTGCCTCCACTTCTGTGCTGGCATCTCTGCATTTACTGGTTTCCACAGAACGTGCAGCTCTCCCAGCCTGCCCTTTTCCAGTCCAGGAGACACCTTCAGATGGATTTGGGAGCAGTGGTTCAGGGCCTGGGCAGGCGTTATGAACCCAACCACAGCAATGTTACCCTGAATTTCTCGTGCCATTGCAGTGTTACGGGCTGGCACAGCCCCCTGGACCGCCGGCTGCCCGACCACTGCAGTGCCGGGCTGAAGCACTGAGACCCTCCTGCAAAGGCAGAGACAGGCTTGCTGTGGTTCAGCTGCCAGGTGAAACCCTCCAGCCCGCGCTACGCACAGGGTGACCCCATGCTCTCACACGTCTATGTTCACCAGGACGGTCCCATTGCAAACACCCGACTGGAGCTCCCTGCAGCCTTGGCCAAACGAACGCTTTTGTTCTCCCGAGCCGGGTGTTCAGAACAGGACTGGTTCCCTGCGATCCTCCCCTCTCACACTGTGACACACTCAGCTGAGACCAGAGCTCGGGGACAGCCGAGCGTGGCAGAGAGCAGTGTGGGGAGCGGACTGTCCCATTTGGAGACCAGGGAAACAGTCACCCTAGCAAGGTAGGCAGTCTGAAACGATCATTGTGGCCCTTTCTAGCCCACAGATCCAAGAGTCTGTGAAATGGGAAAACAGCTAAATGGAGCGAATAGCAAAAGGCATCACTGGTAAAAGGAGATTCCAGGCAAATCCTGACA